TAAGGTGCTAGACATAGCAAAAGGTTGCTACAACATTCATGAGTGCTCATAAGTTCTGAGTATTGGATTCAACCCACGCTCACTTGTATCACTTCATGGAATTTATCTCGAGTGATCGTAAGACGGTAATATCATATAAGTCTTCAAACCTAGAGATATGATTTGTTGACTATGAGTTGGTTATACATTGATTGTACGAAAACGCATTGGTAACTCGATGTTATAAAACGTGATTTTGTGTATGATTTAGCAAGTAGTAGCACAAGCATATGAGTTGAAGTTTATCTGTTCCTTCTAGTCCTTGGAGGATTAGAAGCGATATCTGGGCCCCTCGATGATTTTGTTTTGACCTATGTACCGGGCCCAGTCAGAACCAAATTGATGTGTTCAGTTTAGTTCTATGTCAAACAAATCGGAAATCGGGAAACAAACTGTTGGACAATAAGTACGACATTGTTCCATGTATTTGTCCGGCTGATATCTTGAGATCAGAGGATTATATGATCACTTATCTTAAATGGCAGGTCATCTTAGTTCCACGAGGCTTGGAAAGAGCTACGATTGCTAATCGGTTCCTGAAGTCATACTTGCATGTATAGTTATTAGACTTATCCAAGTGGGAGACTGTTAGATAAGGTGTCTAAGTCCATAACTATTTCTGGTATGTACTTGACCCGATTGGCATGGTCCATTTGGGTTGCATGGCATCATGATAATTGGATAGACAAAATGAGAAGAAGGACAATTATGATTTGTTAATATATTATAAGTTATAATATATTAATATGAAATCATATTATTTAATTAGTATTGATCAAGAGTTAGTTTGGAATTAATTATGTGATCAAAATTGAGACTAATTAAATATATGTGGTTGATTGTGAAAATCATCTATTCTTATATAGTGGGCTAATGATCCATGGTTTATTGGATTGGGCTAAATCGATAGGGTGCTCCATGGAGGCTAAAACCCATGGATCATGGAGGAAATGAAAAGCCATGTCAATTAGGGTTTACATGGTGTAACCCTACTTATGACACACTATATAAAGACCCCATAGGCTAGCAAAATCGGCACTTAGACTAGAACAAGGAGGGCTAGCCGATTTTGAGTGATAGTGTACTTCTCTCAAAGTTATTCCAAGAGTTGTGGTGTTGTGTGAAACATTTGAGGCATCACATTTGGGGTGCTAGGCTCACAAAGTTCTTAAAGAATCCAAACAACAAGAAAGGTATGTTCTTCTACTAGCTTTTATGTTTTAAGTTCCCCATGCCATGCTAGTTAGGTTAAGAACCTTGAAAAAATCAAATTTGCATGTATCTTAGTAAAACATAGATCAAAGGTTTCTAGGGTTGCATGTACACCTTAGGAGTGTTAGAATGGTCAAAACCCGTCATTACATTCTTCATTTCCTCATCTGCTGCATACTGCGGTACCAAATAATCCCTCTCCCAAAACTTGGTAGTAATCTCTGCCACAGTCTCAGTAGTCTGGCGGAGATCCAAAAACTCTCGCGCCAACAGCTATGCCTCAATCGCCTAGGCAAACTCTGCCCGGAATCTGGTCGAAAAGTCATCCTGCGACATAGCATCAACCACATCATCACCCAACTCACTACCAACCTCTTCCCATCAATCCCGTGCCCTGTCCCTCAGGAGGCAGGAAGCAAGTCGGACCTTGTCCCCTTCGAGACAACGGTTGGTACGAAAAGCGTTGGCAACATCTGCCAACCATCTGCTGCTAGCAATGGGGTCCCTAACCCCCATGATAATCTAGATCTTCGCAAGCTCTAAAACCCTAAAACGTCCACGTAAGGGTCCCTATCATGGCTGCTATCTCAGTGCGGAATGCACCCAGCCTCTCATCACAATCTCCACAATGCCCTCCTTGACCGTACTGAAGATTACAGGAGTCTGGTCAATGATACTGTGCATAATCTCAGATGGAATGAACTCCCTCATCTGATCATAGAGCTGCCCGGCTCCAGAGTCCGAGCCTGATCCCTTTCCGGGACCAGATCTGACATCTGGTCTACCACGTAGCGTCACCATACTTAAGTATACTATAACAATATCAGAATACTCATCATAAATCGAGGTATCACATACACTACAAGTTCCCTGGTTTAATCTCAGCCTTCCTTGATTCGAGTACAGATCCTCTGCTTTCAGTAGTACGAGCCCATACTACCTTCCACATCTATCTGTACTTTCCTCAAGAAGTGCCTTGACTCCACCAAGTCCCTTTTACTGCTACTGTTGTCCTCATTCTAATCTCATCCTAGGCTTGCCCTACAACGGTTGGACTTAAACAAGAGCTGCTATCTCCCCATAACTAGCTCGGAAATACCATTACATATCACTAAGACTAGATAATTCTTCGAATGAGAGGTCCTGCCCTACAACGGTTGGACTCAAACAAGAGCTGTGAAATAGAGCTAAACCTAACCTTCTAAAATTATTTAGTCCTTGCAATATGTTGTTGGGTTTTGAGCAGTCTAACACTCATATGGTGTACATGCAACGCTAGATGCTTTGGATCTATGTTTTCTCTAATATACATGCAAACTTTCAATTTCCAAAGCATCATCCTAACTAGCATACAATGGAGTATAAACAAAATGAAATACAAGTTAGATGACATACCTTTTAGTGTAGTTGGAAACCTTGGACCTTTAATAACTTAGTGCCCCAAGTGTTGCACCTCAAATGGAATCACACAACACCACCAACAATGGAGGAACTTGAGAAAAGATTCCTTGCACACACAAAATTCGGCTAGCCCTCTTGCAACTCACTTAGGTGCCCATTTTGGTAGCTATGAGGCTTCTTATATAGTGTGACACAACTAGGGTTACACCATGTAAACCCTAATATGCATGACTTTACACATTCCTTAGGCTCCATGGGTTTTAACCTCCATGGAGTATCCATGGGTCACCTCATGGGTTTAGCATAACATAAAGAACTATGGATCATAAGCCCACTTTATAAGAATAAATGATTTACTTAATCAATCCTCATATATTTAATTAGTCTCTTTTGATCACAAAATTAATTCCAAATTCATTCTTGATCAATACTAATTAAATAATATGATTTCATATTAATATATTAGAACTTATAATATATTAATAAACCATAAATAACCTCTTCTCAATTATCCATCCTTCAGATTGTTCCGGTGCCATGCAACCCAAATGGACCATGCTACTCTCGGGTCAAGTACATACCAATTATAGTTATGGACTTAGACATTAATCCAACATATGTAACTTAACATATTCGTTTACTAGTTAGTTAAAGATAACTGAACTCCTCAAAGCACAAAGCAAGCATCATTCGAGCATTGAGTAAACATAATCAAGCATATCCTAATCAGGTCATCATATCATGACTAATCAGTACTGGCATGCAGTTCATAAAGCTCATACACATATAATTGAAACATAAGGCATCCTTCCTAGATCCTTAGCCCTAATCCAGCATGCAGTTCTCATAAGCATATCATAACATAAACTTGTATGGGTCATTTGGGAGTACTTACTTGAGCTCGGCTGATTGCATGCACCACACCCTTTTCTCTTTTCAAAGTTCTTTTCTCTTTTCAAAATTCTTTTTATAAGAATGATTTTCTTTTGAAAATTTTCATACCAAGTCCTCAGTTTGAGTTCATACACACCCGAAAGTGTGCCCGAATCCCTCAAACCAAGGCTCTAATACCAACTTGTAACATCCCAAAATTCATGACCAAAAATTTCATTTTTAATAAAACTAAAACACATTTGCAACTTGGTTCACACATTGAAAAGCAGTTTAAATAATACATTTATCAGAGTTCATTCCCAGAAATCACATAGTGCAGAAAACATAGGTGTATGCGCTGCGATCGTCCCGAGCTCCTTTATTTGAAAAGTGGAAGTACCTGAAACCAAAACTGAAAACCGTAAGCACGAAGCTTAGTGAGTTCCCCAAATACCACATACCATACATATCAACATACTGCCTAGCATATCGGGGTGCTGGCCTACCCCTTCGGTCTCTTTCAACCGGATACTACCATACATAACTGTGAGCCATACATATCATTCATATATCATAATCAAATAAAATGCTATGTGCCAAAACATAGTCTTGCCATTATGCCACGGGCTGCCACGTGGTCTTTCTTGCCAAGCCGGGGGCCACCCCCTTCGGTCTTACAGAAAAGTGCCAAGAGCCACCTCCTGGTCTTCCATGAAAGCATCACAAAGACAACTAGCATACATACTACTCTACTTAGCCAATTAGCATACAGTGTGCCAGGAGCCACCTCCTGATCTTTCATACATAATGCCTAGGGCTAACCCCTGGGTCTTCCTACCATACACAAACCAAATGGGTCGGCATTGGTGCCTTCGACCCATACAAACAGTAAGGAGACTCACCTCGCACTGCTGAAGTCCCACAAACAACACTCTAGTTGCTGGATGACAGATTACCGAATTGTCAACATCAAATAACACCCGATTAATAATTGGGTTCCAACACATAACCATAAGTCCATCCGTGGGGTAAAAGACTACTTTACCCCGAACTTAGCTTGATTCACACCCAAGGCCCAATCCAAAGGCCCAAAAGTCAAACAAGGAACCAAAGCCCATCATATGGCCCAATTTTCCAAATTGGGCCCAAACCTTTACATGGTCTTACCCTAAGGCACAACCATTTATTCTAGTCCCAACTAGGGGTGCAAACGAGCCGAGCTGAGCCCGAGCCTGACCAAGCTCGAGCTCGACTCGCTTAAAATTTGTATGGCTCAAGCTCGAGCTCGGTTCGTTTCGAGCCCCAATAATGAGCTTGAGAAAGGCTCGTCAAGTAATACATAGGCTCGGGCTCGGCTCGTTTTGTATAACTGAGCCTAAACGAGCTTAAGCTTGGCTCGAGCTCGTTAAAAGCTCGTTTACAAAATGAATTCCAGAAAAAAAACCACAAATTTACTTAATTTTCAACTAGGTGCAGACTACTTAAATTCCAACCACGATGCATAAATAAAATCTTCAAATTACATAAGTTTTAAACTCCAACAAAAAAACCTAAAATCTAATTAAATCATCCAAAAGAAAGTCTTCCTATTATGGAAGTTCAAATTACAAAAATACTATAAAAACGATTAAATTTTAACATAACATATTATCAAAACTCAAAAGCCAATCTTCCTTAAAGCAAATTCAATCCAGCAAAATCTGCAAATTAAAACATTTTATGAGATCTGCTATATAATGTAATTAAACAACTAAGATTACAAGTAGATTAGAATGGCCTTCACCTTTAAGTATTACTTGTCCCTGTAGGTAATGAAACCTCAATGGGCATTTCCTCCTTCTGTAAAAAGAACCTACCAACACGATCAAATATTAATAAATTTAAATAATCAATTGTTAGTTCATGTGTTTTAAGTTTATCAAATGTACCTTCAATTTTTTCTTGATTCCATAACGATGTCTAATCCAATCACCTCCACAAATCAACTTTTGAACAGTGTCCGGTGCCAATGAACATCAGTATGGATCAATTACTCTACCCCCAACACTAAATGTTGCCTCAGATGCAACGGTAGAAATCGGGATTGCAAGCACATCCATAGCCATCTTTGATAAAACACGGTACTTCAATTTATGAACATTCCACCACTCCAAAGCCTTGAATGAATCCATTCCATTTTGTCCCTGGTCCCTATAAACACCTTCTTCCAAATACATATCTAATTCTGACTTTTATGGTCTCTCCAAATCTATATTTTTTTATAAACTCCCCCAAAGCCTCCCATCCTGACCCAAGTGATGTTGTTTTTGATACTTCATTTCCTCCTCATCCATTTGCAGGCGTTTCAACTTCTCAGACTGATGCATCATGTATTTCCAAATACTCCTCATACATTTCATAAAGTGCTTTCTTCACTTCTTCAATGTTCTTTTCAGCATTGGAGTATATGGTTGGGAAACTAAATTCTACTAACTTCATTTTGAATCTTGGATCTAACATTGAAGCTATAGCCATAACAAGATGGAACTCCCCTCGATATTTTTCAAACTTCTCCTTCATCTTAGTCACCATAGTCCTAATGAAATCATTTCTTGATAGAACACCTTTATCAAAAGTTTCTTTTACTCTAAACACCTCAATCAAATACAGATTGGATGTTGGATAATCACTTCCAGAAATGACATTTGTGCATACCTATAAATAAGTTGCTTTAGTATTACGCATGATAAAATATTTAAAATAACACTTAAATAAAGGTAATATGCACCTTAAAAACCTTCAAGATTTAACATACACTCTCCACATACGCCCACTCCTCATCATTAGGCAGGTGATGGAAATGTCGCTCGTACTCCGCAAATCTATGAAAATCAAAAAAACTTAGTGATGTGCAATATTTGAAAACTTGAAAATCACAACATTCAAAACTATTTTTATTAAAATCTAATGTATACCTTGGGAAAACATCTTTAAATTTTAATGCAACCGGCAACATATCATAGGTTGAATTCCATCGTGTTGGAACATCAAGCAATAACTTTCTATCTTGTATTTGCAGTTGATGTGCAATATTTGAAAATGTTTGAAGTCTCGCCTCAGAATTGTTAATATATTTTATACCCTCACGAACTTCCCCGATAACAGAATCAATCATAGCAAGACCATCTTTCACAAGAAGATTCAAAATGTGTGCACAACATCTAACACGAAATAACCTACCACCACACGTGAGTTTTCTCACTCTAGAAAAATTTATTTCAGTCTTCTCAATGCCCTGTCATTGTATGCATCATTGTCTACATATATCGTGAATATCTTGTCCTCAATTTCCCAATTCTTCAAACATTTATAAATACCATTAGCAATATCGAGTCCGGTACGAGGAGGAAGAACATGTACAAAACTCAAGACACGTTTTTGCAATCTACAAAATCAAGTCCAGATATCAATATAAATATATTAAATAAAATTGAAAAAGCTTATTAAAAAATATAGAAGGAAATCAAACCTCCAGTTATGATCAATAAAGTGCCCTTTGATAACCATGTACTCAATCTTCTGATGAGATGACTTCCAAAAATTAGTGGTCAAACTGATTTTTGAGGCTGCTTTTATAAGAGCTTTTAGTGTTTTTTTCTCATGCTCGTATCTTAAAACAATCTGATTTGGTTGAATCCCTGCTTGTTTTCTCAAATAATGGAGTAGCTGTCTTCATCATATGCACGAATAAATCATCCTCCACAATAGAAAAAGGTTACTTAGTACCCAACACCCAAGTAGCTATTGCTTCTCTCATTTTTTTACCGTCATACTTTGCATCAGGCCTGATCAATGAAGGAAGCTTTTCATGTCCTGCATCCCTATCAGACCTAATATGAGGAAAATTCAATAAATTCTGCTTTTCTTCATAGTCTTTATGTGGCGTGCATATAAGCAAGTGCCTTTTTAATGTTTATGTGGTCCCGTTATCACCATAAGTTAGCTTTATTTTACATGATTACACTGAGCTTTTTTGGTACCATTAGATAGAGCCACTATAGTGAAACCATCCCATGCCTTTGATGTTTTTTTTTTCATTTTTGTTTCATTAATATTTCCTCTTCTCCCCTGTGGATTTCTGCATTTTGATGTTTATCACTGCCATTTTCACTTGGATTATAATTCTGAGGAGTTGGTTGTTCATCAACATCTACATTTATGGGAGCAGATTGCTCCTTATTCTCAACCCCTTCCATTAGATCTGAACTCACAACATGGTTTATGAGATAACATTTGTCAAAATTTGTACATTTAATAAGCATACTTAGTTCATCAACATTCAACAATATATTTTCCTGTTAAGGATCTTTAATTAATATCAACAAAAAGAAATATTATTAAACTTCTGATAGAAGAGAACACACTGAGAAGTTAACCAGAAAATGTAACCCAACAAAGCTATAAAGCCATTTTAACAAAGCTACCAATGAAAATAGCCTACATCAGAATACGATGAGTGATAAGAAAATAATAACAAACCAGTGGACTAAAACAATGGAAGTAATAATAACAAAACAGATTACTGGAAATCATAATGAAAAATGAAACTGATGTGAGGCAGCAAAACCAAAGTAATCGACAAATAATAAGCTATCTTCGAATCAACAGAAATTAAATAGATGAGTGAACAATGGAAAAAAAAACTTACTGTGAAGAACTGAAGATGACTGGCCGGTGGTCGGACGGACTGATGGTGCATAATGTCGGACGACGGTGCTCGATGCCGGACAACAGCGCTCGATTGGAGGGCAGATGTCGACGAGAGATCGTCGTCTGGTGGTGTTCGTAGTACGTGCTTGCCGGCTCGCCGCCGATAACAATCACCTGATTAGAATGTTCGAATCACAACAGAAAGGGGATAACGAGTCTTGATTGAAGGGCAGGGTCGACGTGAGACGATGGGAGATCGTCGTTTGGTAGTCTTCGTGGTATCGTGCTCACCGGCTCGCCGCCGATAACAATCGGTTGATCAGATTGTTCAAATCACAGAACGGGGAAGGAACGTGAATAGTTGCGGCTCATTTTCTTTTGATTTGAAACAAATTAAATTCCTTCGGTCCCACATACCCAAAACCTAATTGTTAATTTAATAATTTTCCAATTATCTATTTTAATATATAAAATATAAAAAATAAAATATATTATATTTATATATAGGCTCGTTTAGGCTCGCGAGCCTAATCGATCTTTGTTACACAGGCTCGAACTCGATCTCGTTTAATAAACAAGCTTAAAGTCAGGCTCGAGCTCGGCTCGGGCTCGATAAAAACCGATCTCGAGTCAAGCTTTTACCGAGTCGATCCCGGGTAGCTCGCGAGTAGCTTGGCTAGTTTGCACCCCTAGTCCCAACACATGGCATTCCGATGGTCCAATGTCTCATAATCATCAAGGCCAAGTTATGGCCCATCTATGGCCCAATTTTCCAAATAGGGCCCAAGCCTTTCCAATGGGCCTTATCCTAAAGCCCATCCAAATATTCTAGTCCATATACTTGTTCTTGGATGGCCAATCAATAGCCCAAGCACCAAAGCCCAATAGAAAGGCCCAACTCAAGGCCTAAATAAAATTAAGGTTTTCACATAAAATGACGATTAGGGTTAAGTGTTCCTACTTAACCCATTAAGGACTTAATCCATTAAGTCCATCAATCCACTAGGCCAAACATACAACATAATCAAGCTTAATTCAAAATTCCAATCTAGTGGTCCAAACATGCGGGTCTCGACAATTCCAAATTAACATATCTAAAATTAGGGTTTTCTAAACCCTAATTAGGGTTTCCAACCCCATCACACTCCAGTAGTCCACTTGTTAAGCTTTTAGGTTAATTAATTGTTAATTAAGTCGGGCACCACCCACTACCACCTCGGGTAGTGGTGGTCAACGGCGGCTCACGGTGGTGGTGACAGATTTCCTTGATTATTTTGTCCAAAACACAATTGTACACACAATATCCAAACGAACACATGCACAAAATAACACACACACACACACACACACGCACAACCACCCTTGTGGTAGCCGACGGTGGTACAAGGTGGCAGCCACCACCTCACGGTGGTGGTGGTGGTGGTGGGTTTTCCGGCCAAAAATCACACATACATCATCATACCCATAAATACCCATACAATACACTTTCACACACACCACCGCCCCTCACGGTGGCTGGTGGCGGCAGAGGGAGTAACATGGGGGGCAACCACCATGGTTGGATGCCATGGTGTTTGTTCTCGGTTTTTAGGGCAAACAAACACGCCTACAACGAACAGCGACATAGAAGAACGCACATACATGCGACTCACACACTGAGATGTACACGGCAGCCTCCTTCGGAGTGGTGAGTGTTGACCGGAGCGACTAGTGCGAACCGTATGGGCGGCGGCGGACATGCCAGCAGAGGCGTAGCACAGAAGGATGGACAGAAAGGTTGTGGCCGAGAAAATCAACAACAACATCAGTAGCAGCAGCGGGAAAGACGCTCGCTCGCAATCCTCGTCGTCGTCGGTAGTGTGAGGAATGGCGACGCTGAATGACAGCTCACCTCGGCGGTATGGGCATCGGCTTGGAACGGTAGTGCTTGGCTGCCTTGCCCGATCGGAAAACGAGAAGGAAGGATGGTGGCGGCTGCAAGGTTCGTGCATGGCGGCGGCTGAAGAAGGTCTTCTTGGTTTAGGGTTTAAGATGCGACGAGGGGGATGGCACAGGTTTAAGTCCCACTTCCATACAAACTTTCGCACATTAAACAAGTCTGGTCCCTCCTTATAGGAACTTTTCCAAATTAAGCCCAATATTTACCATTCATCCCCTCTCTTCAAGATCTTTTTCAATTTAAATCCAGAATTTACCCTTTAGCCCTTGCCTTCAAAAATCATTTCATAATAAGTCCATAATTTTCCAAACACACCCTGACTTCTGAAATCATTTTCAAATTAAATCCATAATTTACTAAACAGCTCTCCACCTTTAAAATTCTTTACAAACTAATCCGAAACTTACATTTTAACCCCCAAACTCTCAATTATGGCTTTTAACTCCCAAAGACCAACACCCCACTAAATATTATGGATTTTAGGGCTACTATTCATCCATTAATTTTATCTATTTATTTATTTAATAAACGGGATGTTACACCTAGTATTTTCGAAATTAATAAAAGGGTTTAGAAAAACATATCTTTTGATTATACTAGTAGATAACCAAACAAAATCCTTCTTGTAGTCACTTGGAAGCTAGCACCCGAAATCTCGTGTCTCTTATGGTTCACATCCAACCCTAATAACAAGGAGGTTTAAAGATAGAGGAGATGAGATGGAGAAATTTCAGCTATGCCTTATAGGAATAATATGAGCGAAATTATGAAACCCATGGAGGGTTTATATAGGTGACTAAGGGAACTAGGATAAGACAGATTTCCTTAGATAACTTTTATCCCCTTTTCTTGCCCCCCTAAGGCATCCAAGGCTCCCTTAATGCCCGAGAAAACCCTAGAACCCTTCTAGAATTCGTTCCCCTCTTAGGGAGGTTCTAGAATTGGTCAATGTTCAACTTTTAAACATTGTCACATTTAGTCCTTCACACTTTTAATTATTACAATTAATCCCAAAATTATTCTGATTAATTTCTGATTAATTTATAATTAAATAATAGTATTTATAATTAATATATTATTCTCATAATATATTAATAATTTAGTTATTTTGATTTCTAATTAATTATTAATTACATAATAAATTAATAAATCAGTCTCTCTCTCTAAAAGTCATTCTATTCAATTACTAGGCTTGAGGGCAACCCAAAATGATTTTGCTACGTTGAATCGTTAGATGAATGTTCCCGGTATTGACAATATTTCATAGGAAGAGCTGTCATCTCTATCTTCCATCATCCATTCCATGTAATCAGTCATAGGATCCAAGGCACTAATGCTAAGGCTCATATTCATACCAAGAAGAGACTAGACTGCTATTAAGCGGTTAAGGTAGAAGATCTCAAATCATTAGCTTTGGTGAACAAGATCAAATAGCTCCTCTTTCAGATTATAAACTAGAACTAATAATTCAAGCATATACTAATTCAGTTATTGACTTAAACACGTAATCCAACAGTATCATGGTTAAAACTTTTTTTTTTCTCTTAGCATCACCTCATGTCATCTCAATTTTATTATATTTTTACAGTAGAATTTCGTAATATTTCATTTTTAAACGTTAAAATATCATATTTATCCAACATAATATTAAAATATTATATTTGTTCTCCTTAATGTTTTAAAATATCCGACTTAACCAAATTTATGTTTTTAATACTTTATATTCATTTTTCATACTTTAAGATTATTAATATTGGAAAATAAAAAAAATAACTAAATGGACCATATAACTTTTACCTTCTAAATTACTTCATCTGCAAAACATGCGAGACCTGGTCTAAACTTTCGCCTTATTTATTTGCTCTTGTTTATAGTTTTGATACTTCATCTGCGAAACATGTGAGACCTGGTCTAAACTTTCGCCTTATTTATATGCTCTTGTTTATAGTTTTGATTTTGTGATTTTTCAAAATGAGAAGAAAGATGAGACTGACTTTTATATTTTGTTTTTCCTCGTAAGTGAAAAAAAGATTAAATATCTACCAATCACAAATTCACAATATGTGTTTTGTCCTTGCCAATGGATAGGTAATTGAGTGTTTCATAAATATTATTGTGTGTGTGCAAGTCAAAGTTTGACTTGTATTACATGTGTTTCTATTCTAAAAAAAGAAAACTTTGTAACACTATTTGTTTTCAATGGTAAAGTCATGTCAGTTGGTTGATAAAGTTTCTATTATTTGAGAAAAATTGCAAATATAACCAAATTCCTTAATTACTTTATGGAAAATAGCCAAAAAAAAAAAACTCAAATTACAAATATAGCCATGAAAATCGCAGATGGATTAAGCTCATTTGCGATCTTAGCATTCCATCTGTGAACGTACAAGTCGCTAAAGCACAGTCGTGCTTTAGCGACTTGTACGTTCGCAGGTGTTTTTTTAGTTTTTTTTTTAATTTTTCCGTATAAATAACCCAATTTTTGACTGAAATCGCAGATGAACTAAGTTCATCTACGATTTCCTCTCATCCCACCTGCGATTTGCATTTTTTTAATTTTGTCTACAAAATTGATAGGGTTTAACTACGAAAGAACCTTATTATATATAAAGTTTTGCAAAAAATTATCAATTTAGTTCCTATTTCTTTGGATTATTTGTTTAAAACGTCTCTAATAAAATGAATTCTTCAATAAAAACTTTGAAAAATATTTGAAAAATGAAATCGTCCGTAGTGACTCTAGAGAGAGAGAGTTCTCCAAAAAAAGTTTGAAAAATGAAAGAAGAAAAAAAATTACGTTTTTATACCCCTGAAAAAGGAGAAATCACAGATGGACACAAAATCACAGATGGACAAGTAAAATCGCAGATGGATTGAGTCCATCTGCGATTTTGATGACTATTTTTGTAATTTGGGTTTTTTTTGGCTATTTACCACAAAGTAATTAAGAGATTAGGTTATTTTTGTAATTTTCTCACTATTATTTTGGAAGGTGAGATTAACAAAATAAGGGAAATATGATCTTTTTTTTCTTTTTTTAAATAATTTTAAAATATAGAAGAATATTATTTTTTTTTCTTTTGCGATATGATATTCTAAAATGATTAAAAATTGTAAATATGATATTTAAATATAATGGTAAAAAATATGATATTTTAGCGTTTAATAAGTACATACACAATTCTTTTTATTTTCATTCTTTATTGACACACACTGAGAATGGTAAACATGGCATGTATTATTTTATTTTTAAATTTTTTTTAATCATTTAATTTTAAAAAGAACTTAAAATTTTATTAAATGTAACTAAAAATACCTAACATCAATTAAAAACTTAAAAATGTAAAAAAAAATTCATAAAATGAAATACAAAACCTAAATTTGAAAAAAAAAACTACATAACATTATATTAAGAAAAAAAACAACTAAAATG